GCAGTGATCAAACAAGTGGTTCAAAACCTTACGTCGGTTATAAAAATAGCTGTGGCTGTTTAATGAAGCGTCATCATTAAGGAGTGTTACCAGAAGAGGCAACTATTTAAATCAGTCCAGAGAGTGTGTGGGATGTGTCTCAAAATGTGACTTGCGAGAATGTGCTCTGTACTAGAGATCATAGCATGCTTAGGTTCGTATTTTCTTGCAAGAACAGCAAAATTTTCCAATTCAATAGGAAATACAGCATAGCAACACTAGGGAAGCTTGTTAAAGCTAAAAGAGGCAAGTAATGGCAAATACTCGCTCCCTGCAGAGGACTAAAGATGCCATGCTGGAGGTACAGACCAAAATCATGCCAGCTATCAAGGGAAGTGTGAATGGAAGCTGGCATGCCTGAACATCAGGTAAAGATAGTTACTGGAAAGCTGAAGTAGCATTCACATGAGGAAAATTGTAAGGATATAAAATCTGGCAAGTAAAATATCAAAGCGTAAGATAGAACAAAAGAATTTGGGTAATACATTTGGAAACATCTTTAATAACTGCCTTTCAGCACATGAGTAGTAAACAACCTGTCACAAGTGATAAGGCCACAAGATGATCAGTTTATAAAAGAAACTTTCAGAAAATAAGGTGATAGCAGAAAATCTTTGCGTCTGTGTTCGTTGTTGAAAATCTTGGAAAGGTTGCCCTGACAAGAACCTTTTGTGGGTAACTGGGTGTCAGAGGAACAATACTCTGAAATCAGCATTTGTTAAGAGCTTAGGAAATCATAGAATCATTTAGGTTGGAAAAGACCTTTTAAGATCATCAAGTCCAAGTCCACCTGTTAACCGAACACTGCCAAGTCCTCCACGGGACCCCCAGGTGCTTTTCCACTGGGCAGCTTTCCAGCTGCTTGTCCCCAAGCCTGTAGCATTGCATGGGGTTGTTGTGACCCAGGTGCAGGACCATGTGCTTGGCCTTGCTGAACCTCACGCAATTGGCCTTGACACATCAATCTGGTCTGTCCAGATACCTCTGTAGAGC